TCTTAAGGCTTGACACGCACTCTAAACCTACCTTATTGCATTAAATGTTCATTTAATGCACTGGGTATAAATAGAAGTGTTTCTTCTCTTTGCAGAGTATGCGCATCAGTCTTCAACCTAATTCTCACTTCAAGCATCCTCTAGCTTAAGTAAAGGATCTTTCATATAGCATTCTTTTTTCTGTGTTTGCTATAGCTTCGTGTGTAACCAAAGATTGTTTAGATAGGTTTTTTTTACCTTATCTTTCCGCAAACAGTCTTGTAAAATCTGTATTGATCTTCTCTATCAATATATATTTTAAATTTGAAAACATTGTGTTTGTATTCATCCCCCCCCTTCTACAAACTGTTTCTTATCTTGTAGACCCTTTCGGGACCAACAGCTCTGCACGTGATTGGGACATGGCACAGGCCTATCCTGGTGATCAACAATGGGATGGTGAGGACTTCTCACGGATTAGATTACACCATCCCGTATGGATACCAGATAGGTTTTGGCTGCAGATGATTGATATGGTATGCATCTCTATTGTGAGCTTTTCGAACTGCCAAGTGTATTGACTTAATTCTTATATATGTGCTCTGTTTTTAACAGGTTTGGGATACCGAGGCTTGGAAAAGGAAATCCAGGATCAATCGGGCCAATCGAAACACCCAATTTGAGGGGGTGTCGTCCAGACACACTGGGGGATCGATTAGTACGACACAACATCGAGACAAGATGGTGAGTATCTAATCTTTTTTAAAAATGTGATTCGTTCTTTATGTTAGTAACAACTTAACCTAATTGTCTAATGTAGGCACAAGTAATGGGTCGTGAGCCTACTGCTACTGAGGTGTTTGAGCGCACTCACTGCACGAACCGGAAGTTCGATCAAGGTTCGTCCGACCCGCCTACCGATCCTCCTCAGTTCAGTTACCCGAAAGCTGCTAGGTATCATGTAAGTTTTCTAAAACAATTACTTTGGTTAATAGATACGTTCGGTAGATTTAAGGTAATATATTTCAATAAACATAGTGATGCTATTAGTTTGGGCTGCCATTGTTGGGCAGACGTTAGRYTRAGTAAGTAGGTTGAGAATGTGACTTCGAACATTGGTATTATTAGAATGCTTAGTTGTTACATACATGCATTGGTTATGTTTTCGTTATGCTGCTGAAATATCTATATACATAACCTCACCCATTTTTGTTTTGGTGAACCATAGGAGCGATTTCAATCGCTTAGGGGTGAGTCAAAATCTAGTACCGACAGCCCTCTCCCTGATGAGGCATCTCTTTGGGARCAAAGTGTCGGAGGACGGAGGAAAGGCCGAATATTTGGTTTCGGGACCACCCAGGATCCCTCTTATGCTATGACAAGTAGATGTAGCAGTAGCGGGTCATCATACGAGTCAAGAGCGGAGGTACGTTGGTTATATTGTTTTAAACTTTCTCATTCCTAAAATTGGGAACAAATTACTGATTTTGTCGAATATTTAATATTTACAGGTAGCAGAGTTGAGAGAGAAGTTGGCAAGGGTAGAGGAGGAGGCACAGTTACGGGAGGAATGTCATCTGGCCGAAATGGAGGACGAACGGAGGAAGAGGGCAGATTTGGAGGCCGAACAGGCCAGACAAACTGCTGCATTAGCCCAACAGGCCGCATTATCGGAGCATTTTGCTACGTTTATGCGACAGTCAGGATACGTTTTCCCAACTCCCCCACCTCCCGATAGTTAGATTATATGTATTCGAATATAAAATTGTATGAATTGAATATTTTAAATTTTATGAATCTATATTTTAAATCGTATGAATTGGTTATTAAAAGTTTACAGTTTTTGTTTGTTAAATATTTTCAGGTTATTTTTATAAATAAATACAGAAATTATCCAATTTCAAAAAATTTATTTTTTAAATTTATACAAATTAGCGAGGGAAAATCCGTCGCTGAAGGTTCCGTCGTAGATCCGTCGCTGAAGGTTCCGTCACAGATCCGTCGCTGAAGGTTCCGTCGCAGATCCGTCACTGAAGGTTCCCTCGCAGATCCGTCGCTGATCCGTCGCTGAAATTATCCCTCGCTGAAAGTGTCCCTCGCAAATCCGTCGCTGATCCGTCGCTGATAGCATTACCTACGACTATTTGACCGACGGAGTATCAGCGACGGATTGCCCTTTCAGCGAGGGATTTGCGAGGGAATTTTTCCTCGCTGATACTCTGCATTTTTGTAGTGAGAATTCTAGAGAGAAAATAATGACCAAATGTTTTTAAGAATACCGTTAAAGGATCCAATCTATAGCATGAAGAAAAAAATAAGTCTAAGTCATTACAAACATCAAGATTATCAAATTTTGTTAAATTGTTTGTTTATACAATACAATAATTCAGACCGAAAAATCTGGTTTTATTGAGCCTGTGAACATTGCATTTAATCCTTTATGGATGCAAATAATCCCAACATAACTAAAAAAACTCTTTCTTGACATACAAGTTTCGAAAATCAGGACTTTCCTCCGGTATTTTTATTCACTTTTAAAATGTCATATGAACATATACCAAAATGCTTAAAGCCAAAAAAAACCTTACACTTTAAAAAGCAATCTAATTCTTCTTTTTAAGAGATTTGAATTTCTTTTTATAAATTATCTTATTTATAAAGCCCTTTTAGAAAGCATTTTCTTTTTATGAAAACCCCTTTTAAATTAGTTATGAATACCATGTGTTGACTAATATTCGATTTTTCGTAGAATTTTTGGAGGCATACTTCTCGAAGAATAACATTTTGATTTCTTCAATTTTCATGGTATGCTTGCCTTTGCATTCTTTACAACACTTAAAATGCATTGTGATTGCTTTCACTATTAACTAGAAAGACTTTTATTCACGGATTTTTCAAACCCGTCGTTACAGGAGTGATTCGTCACAAAACTTGGTTTGGTGGGATACTTAAATCAGTGACAGATTACCCAGTTATTTTCTGGTTGATTCATTTGTATTTTCTTGAGAAACATCGGATTCTCCCAGAACCATTGGTATTTTCTAGATGATCCGTCAGTAACCAACAACAGAAATTTCCCTGCATAATTTTTGTGAGTAAAAGTAATTTGTTTTGTAGTTCTTTTCAGCATTTTGATTCGCGTAGATATGCTCGATATATACAGTGCACGATAACATTTTTGCATAAGTCATCGAATCATGTCAGATCTATCGTAACTTATAATCAACATATATAACCGGGATTGTAAAATTTACATTGTAATTAAAAATGTTCCTTTAATATTTGCAACATGAAAACTATTATTTGGAAGAAGATAGTTGTTTTTTTTTTTTTTTTATAAAGATTTGAAGGTTTTGAAAAATTATTAAAAATTAAAAAGATTCTTTTGAATAAAAATGGAGAATAAGACAATGAAGTATCATATGATGGAATGACAAACAAAACTTGGGGAAGATGATTACAAGGTTTCAAACAAGAAACATCTTATGGACATTGTTGTGGTTACAACAATTCTATAATTAATATGTTATTATAAATCTTTTCATGTTGTTTTATTTGTCTCATTACTACAATTATTTAATTTGCTTTATAATTATCACTTCCGTTCTGATTATTCCTTAACCCGATTGTAGACGACATCGACTTCTTGTTATTATTTGTATCAAAATGAAACGTATATGGTTTTCGTTCTTGTTTTATAGAGCGTATCTTTAAAAGACAATACATCTTAAATAACAAAGTTTAAAGCAATTCTTGTTTACAAAATTATTGCATGTTACATTGGTTGAATTATATGTGCTTTTGATTTTGATGCAATTTCTCATATAAATAATGGGTATAAATTCATTTTCCAATTTCTCATATTTTAGTATACAAATAATGGGTATAAATTCATTTTCTTGCATTGATAAAATGGGACATTCATTTCTTTAGTTTAAACATTCTAAACACGAAATTAATATCAGTTATCTTTAATAAGCGGGAAATTATAAGAATCTTCTTAAAGAAAATATGTATATATATATATATCTTCTAATATGTGTACATATCTTAAATAATGGTTGGGTTCATGTGAGACCAAGGGTTTTTCGTGAGACCTGTAAGACCAATTTATGTTCATTGATCAACTTTATAAGCTAATGATCTAATGGTCTAAAGTTGCACGGTGGCAATTTTGYGATTATTAAGAAGTCTCGTGGCAATTTTATGATTATGAATGTTTAGATTGTAGATCTAATCTATGAGTTAAGAATTGGTGTTACGGGTCTCACGAAAAATCATTGGTCTCATATGATCTCAATTCTTTTAAATAATGTGTATATATATATATATATATATATATGTGTGTGTGTATGTAAACTCGATATTTTATGTAATTTACTTTTGACTTAAGTGACCTAAAAATGTGTTTATGGGTTCCCAAATCAATATTGCGATTTTTGAATTAAAAAACACCAAATACTATTTTATATTGCTTGTTTTAATTAAAGAAGTAACCAGAAAATTATATAAAATTGCTATTTTTTAATTAAAAAATCCAGCATACATTATTTTAAATCGCTTAGTTTAATCAAATAAATGAGCAAAGATTAATTTAAAGTTGTGATGGTGTAGTCTAATACAACATGCTTAGTTGGAAATTGGTCAAACCTGATTATTATTAATTTTAAATTATTTGTATAATTAAAAGGAAGTTTTGGTGGGTTAGATGATGACCAAATTAGCTACACCTAAATCCATCTATAATATCAAGATGATATATTGGTCGTGGTTAGGAGAACCAAACAAATTTTGATTGGACTATGGCTCTCATTTTTCTACATCCTTTTCAACGTATCGAAATATAAGGTTTTTTTTTTTATTAACTTGAATATCTAACCCTCTATGCGAGCCGACTAATCTCAGGACGACCACCTGCTTTACAGATAGCCCGAAGTCACCGCGTTTGAACCTCTGTGGCCACAAAAGGATTTTTATTCCTCCTTGGATTTCAACCTGGGATCTCCAGATACTTTTGACCTTTGTAACGGAACTCAAACCAATCAAGCACCATCCTTGTGGTTTCTATAAGGTTTTTACTATAAATCGATAAGATAAAATTTAGTTGTTTTAATAGAGTTTAATCGCTGAGTTTTAATTTTTTTTTTGGGAATGCAACAATAATTGCTAAGTTGAATTTGAAAAGATTATTGGTAATAAGTAAGTAATACATGATGGTTAATAACTAGGTTTTATCAAATGATTTATGATAGTATAGATAAATTTTAAGAAGTCAAAAGATATTTATGATGGTTTTGAAATTACAGAGATATAGAGAGTTTCATCATACATGGCTAGAGATATTGATGTACTATTCTACAATTGATTTAGAATAAAAATAATTGTAGAATACACATGTATTGTAACACCCTACTTTTACATTTGCATAAAAACCACATTGTTTATTTAACATGAAATACAAATATATACATTAGTCACAAATGTACAAATTGCTACATATATAAAAGTAGCGACAAACTTTTCAATTTTACATCAAGTACATGACTTGCAGATATAATAAGTTCTCAAGTATATGCACAATAATAACTTTCCAAAATTCATAGATGTAAAGCAATCATAACTTCTTTCACATCTTTCCCTTTCTCTCACTCTCACATGTGTCCGACATGTAATGCACATTTTTAAAACAAAACAGGGGTTAGCCCATAAGGTCTAGTGAGAAATCTCTTTTGATTGTTATTGCAAGGTGAAAATCACCAAAACACTTTTTGGAAAACCAATACTGAAATTATGTTATATAAATAAATTTTATTGTAACAAACATCTTTTGTCGTATCATATAGATGAGACCACAAATTTCTCGCATCACAAGGACGAGATAACCCCCTTTCCTCGCATCAAACAAATACGATAACCCATCTCATTACATCCAACACATGTGATGAACACCCTTTGTCGCACCAAGCAGATGCGATAAACATCCTTTGTTGCACCACACTGATGCGATCAATGCGACTTGTCGCACCATAAGGATGTGATAAACACAACGTATTGCACCTCAAGAATGCGATAGCCCAACTCCTCGCACCACAAGGATGCGACAAAAATCTTTCTCGCATCACATTGATGCAATAATATCATCTCATCGCATCATAAAGATGCGATAAACCAAGCTCATTGCATCATGAAGATGCAATATCAGTTTCCATACGATCAAAATCCCGTTTTTAACATACAGTTGATTTTGCCACCCTTATCCCAGTATACGTCTCTCCTGATTATGCGACCCTTATCCCAAAATATACCTCTCCTAATTACGCCACCGTTATCCCATAATACACCTCTCCTGATTATGCCACCCCTATCCCAAAATATACCTCTCCTANCACCTCTCCTGATTATGCCACCCCTATCCCAAAATATACCTCTCCTAATTACGCCACCGTTATCCCATAATACACCTCTCCTGATTATGCCACCCTTATCCCAAAATACACCTCTCCAGATTATGCCACTCTTATTCCAATTAGTTGATAACTACATATCAAAACACCAAATTATGCTAAAAATAACATATAATCAAATTCAAACCCCACATATGGACCATACGGTTATGTAGTTAAGCAAATCAAATGATGCTTAAAAATAAAAACTCACCTTAAACTCTCATGTAGATTGCTGATATAAATCAGCCACAAAATTCAAATATGAACACACAAACTTTCTTCTTCCTTTTCTTCAA